TGCACATAACAGGCTCTGCTGCCATTACATGTCCACATTAATGTAATCAATGGGAAACAGGGCCCCCATACATCCCAAAAAACAGTTGTAGATAATATGATTATACTGTAATCTCACCCAAAAGAAAGACAAAAAAAAAAAAGGTTGTTTTCTTTTCTCACAAACAAGACGATGGCGTAGGATTTGATACATATTTGGAAGTTTAAAGTTATGGCTTTTGGCCTCAGTGGTTTGCATTAATTTATTGGACTGTGGTGGTCTGTTATATTTGTCTTGCCACAGTTTCATAATGAAACATTTTTTCGCTTTATAACATAAGAGATCTCTAACTAGGGATTTCGCTCTGTTGCAGCATTGTATAGCTGTGTGCAGCGCTATTTCCCACGTTGTCACTCTCTATCCAGTCTCCAAAAAATGTTGCAGTCCACGCAGACAGTCAGACGTCATGGTTTCAGATGCAGTTGTGGTCGTACCCACTGTTCTCTCTTTGAGGCGGGAACTTGTCTTTCACTCTGTGTGTATCTCTCACTCGGAATCTGTTGTGTGTGGGAGCGACTTTAATGGGCATGTGCGACATACTGAATGAATTCTGTGGGAAACACTGTGGCCTAAATAACAATATCAACACAATACAACAATGCCTTCCGAATTTCCTGGAGCCCAGATGATGTGATGTTTGACCAACTGTCTTAAAATTATTCTATTTACTGTAATGTTTGAGTTTAACAAGATAATTTATAACTTAAAAAGAATTTATGTGACTGATCAATAATGAAAATGGTTGCTGGTTAATTTTCCATCAATTGGCTAATTGATTACTGGACTACCATCAATTTCAGTCAATGAGAAATATTTTGGAAATATAGCTCTGTGAAAGTCGGACTGCTTCCATGTTGCAATGTGTAAAAAAAACAAAAACAATGGCGTCATCACTTAGTGGATGTTCTGTTGTTTCACAACGGTCAAATCAATCTTTCCTTAATGAATGTTACAGTCCCAATGACCTTCACACTTCCACAGTACAAAAAACAATAAATAAAGGTAAATACTGGCTTTTACTTGCTTAACAGCTCTAATTTCCCTCATTTGAGCTGCTAATCTGGCAACCAATAAAACCTAATGTTCAAGGGTGGAGCACATTCTAATTCAGAGCAGATTGTTCATTCAGCTCCAAGTCAGGTTTCTGATCTATGTGCTGTTTGGTTTGTGTGCACTGTTGGTGATGTTTCCATGATAAAAATTTCCTGGAGGCAGATTAATAAAGCACTTTTACTGCTACTAGACGATAACCATGCAGCTACAGCTGGATGGGAGGTCTAGTGTTCTACACTACAGTTATGTGTCTTCAGTTTACGACACTCAATACGTTATGGGAATTATTTCGTGCTGAAGTGTTTTTAATGCGCTTCTCGGTACACGTGTTCCCTTAAAATCTTCTCTGCCTCTGCAACAGCTTGTGATTTGTTCCCAGAATCCAAGCCACAGAGAATACGCCTAAACTTGTTGCGTTCAGCTGTTGTTGGAAACGAAAGCAGCATGAAAGTGAAAGCCATTGAACAAAAGAGAGTTTCTCCCCCCAACCCATTAACAAAAGTACCTTTCTTAATGGGTTTTTAAACAGGGTTAACGTTTTCTTTAAGGTACTGATAGATGAACCTAGACTTGAGTAAAATAAGATTTGCAAGTACTCTGTAAGTGGAACTACTGAAACAAGTGCACCAGGCAGGTCTGGTTGGCTGATTCCAAACTGGACAGCATATGTGTTGCGTAACAAAATATTTCTCAGGAAGGAAGTATCAGGTAAAACGGAGACAACATAATCTCTGCTTCAGTGGTATGGTTATACAGAGCCTGGCCTTAAATACGAAGGCACCTTCAGCATAGAAATCTCATGCACACGAATATGTAAAGTGCAGGAAAAAATTGCAACATCTCCCTTCCTCATAAATTTAATTTCTCAAAGGACTCATTCATCATATGGTGTGACCTAAAAAGGCACTGCTACAGCATTTCTCAGAAGGATTGCATAGTAAGTCCTCATTGCCTAATTTGGTTGCATTGCTGCTAGTGTGATTTAAACAATGCTAAGTATTAGCCTCGTTTTAACCCAGTTCCAAAGCTCTCTCTGTGATAATCATAATATTTTAAACTGGAAGATAACCAGTGTTAAAGTTCACTCTTATGCAAACATGAATCTTTATGCTGAGTAGAAATTCTCAGCAGGACAGAAAAACCATGACTTCATGCAATGCAATGAATCGTGGACTTGATATATCTCGTATAGGTTTAAAACCTAAGATATATTACCAAGTATTGGACTTTGGTATTCAAAGCATTACGTGTTGTCTTTGCTCAAATAGGGAGCACAAAATAATTGAGTTTGAATTGGTTATGCCGGGGGCTAAGTGCTAAAACAAATCTTTAAATGAAATTCATTACAAGCAGGGTCGCCATACCCAGGTGTTATTGAATTCATTTCTCATTTTGACCTGATTTAGAAAGATAACAGTAATAACAGAGACTGACAGAAGAGATGACAATGGCATTGCACATCATGGTTTCCCTTCAAACGCATTAAAACGTAGTCAGTCTCATTGGCGTAATTGATCTGCGCAGATGGTGTCTTTTCTTCTCGTGTTCCTTGATTCATTCTCTTGCTGTTGTTTTCCTCGGCAGAAAGAGAGAATGTTTTCTCAAATAAATCCATCTGTGCTGGAGGAGTAACTTTTACAAATGCATAGAATTGATACACTTACTGTAAATATTCCAGTGTAAAACATGAATAGGATTTTTTTTTAAATACAAATGAGTAATATTATTTTTGCATATCTTCCTTTTCACAACCATACAACCATCCAACATTGCTGTTTGTGATAGTTCCTCTTCATTCCAAGTGTGAGGTTGATGAGACACCAAACTGAATACCTTCATCCCAGTGAAGTTAATGAGGAAAATGAAGCTAATGAAATAACAAGCACAAGATGGAGAAACAGGCTGATCTGATGCATCCTCTTGGTTATCTGGCAATATCTGGAGGCGTCACTGGCCTCAGACTCTCATTTTCTTCCTGTCATATTCAATCAGGAATTCCTGCCTAAAATAAAAGTCTCTGCAGCGGCCACAACCAGCAGACGGTCAGGCCAGCCTCAACACTAACATTTTTTTTGTTTTTATATATTGTGAATTTGGAAAAGTATCAACTTTTTCAATATTTTGTTATATTGCATCTTAATGCTACAATAATTAATCTAGATTCAATCTTTCCGTCATTGAACCTACATGTAGTATCTCGAAATGACACATGGTAAACAACTTAAAAAAATTAAAACTGAGTTCTTAAATCGTTTGCTATCACTTGTAGCTGAGGTGCCTCCCATTGTCCTTAATCAGCATTTGTACACCTTTTCTAGAATCGTCCTGTGGCATTTCAATTGACTGGAGATGATTTAGAAAGGCACACACCAGCCTATATAAGTTCTCACAGCTGATCGTGTATATCAGAGTAAAAACCAGGTCATGATGTTGTATGAACTGCCTGCTGAGCTCAGAGATAGGATTATGTCGAGGCACTGATCTGAAGAAGGCTACAAAAACATTTCTGCTGTATTGAAGGTTTTCCAAAGGCACAGTGGCCTCCAGAATTCTTTAATAAGAGATGTTTCATATAACCAGGACTCTTTTTAGAGCTGGCTGCTCAGCCAAACGGAGCAATCAAGGGCGTTGGTAACAGAGGTGACCAAGAACTTGACGGTCACGCTGGCCGAGCTTGAGAGATTCTGTGTGAAGATGGGAGAAACGTCCAGAGGGACAACCATCATTGCAACACTGCACTGATCTGAGTGTCCAGTGTCTCCTCAGTGAAAGTTTGCAGAAAGGCACCTACACTCTCTCACTCTGCGAGAAACCAACTCGTCCAATCTGATGAAAAACCAGGATTGAACTGTTTGGCCTCAATTCTAAACGTCAGAATTGGTTGTCCTTCCTTTAAGTTTTTCCCACTGAGAAAATATATGCACAGTACACTGGACTAAGAACTGATTCAATATTTAAAATGATAACATTTAGCTGTTGTTTGCTATTTGTTTAATTGGAATTGTTTACATTGACTGCAACATGTCTACATGGTTCTGGAATATTTAGATGCCTGTAATAAACTAAACCAGATTGTATGACACAGATTATATAAAATAGTCCTTATAACAACTGGGTCATTCATGTGCCCTTAAAATGTAAATGTGATAATTTTGACGGTTCTTGAATGCAGAGTAGGTTTCTGAAAATGCATCGAGTCCAAATGCAGACCACCTGGATCACGACAGTGTGATTCTGCAGCCTTGTCCACAGTACTGTGGATATCTTTTTATTTTCATCCAAACCGCAAATATGACTACAAACACTGAAACAAGCATTCCAGACCAGTAGGTATAGTTTACATCAACAATCAAATGAAATACCAGAGTGAGTTATATGTCCTGTCAGCCAGTCTATAGCTGCCATTGTTGGTGTTTCTAGTGCATGTAGACAGAGCAACGTTGGACATGCACAAAGTAGGCAATGACATCATCGTTTCCCAAACACGTTTCACATAGAAACATGAAAATCTGTACTTTGGAAGTTTGCCATTTTAGTGACTCAAGCGATTTGCGTGCGGACGAGAGTACTTTTTGTGAGATATCTACATTAGTGCAGATGGGTTGTTATGGCTCAGATTCATTTTTATCATTCTGAGTCAAAAGCATCAAATTCTAATACATTTCCTTTGTACAGGTTTTACTGCTCTTAGAATACTTGTATATGTATAAATTCATGGCCACAAAGGATTTCAAATGTAACTATGGGAATGGTCTCTCATGTTCAGCTCTATAAACGGCTCTCTGGGTTCCTTATTTGGGGCTCTAGAGTTTTAGAAACATTTTCAAAACCTGTTCATTGCTTTTCACCCTTGAAATATCACGGTGTCTCCTTTAACAACAATTTTGCTTTTCTTTTCTCTTTCTCAGATTGATCCTAAGGTTGCCTTTCCCCGTCGCGCCCAGCCTAAGGTAAGAATAAATTGGCCACTAACCCTTCTCAAAGAAAATGATTATGTCTCATGTCACCAGCTTACCTAATTTTGTGTTCTCACGCTGCAGATACAAAGAGGCAGTGCTTGTCTGTTTGTTATTGTAGAGAAATACACAGTGTGGCTCCATTGTTCTCATCTCGTCTGTGCTGTTTTCGCCAAAGCAATTAAAGTTGGACATATTACACTTAAAGGAATTTTTTTCATCATGATTGAGGTTATGTTTTTTTGTATTACCTCAGTGTTTTAAAACTACTTCCATTTTTTCAGTGCCTGTGTCATGCTTATTTTAACATTTCATCCCTTGTCATAGGCACAAATGCTTTGAACTCTGTCTTATTAGTGCAGTATATTTCCATCACAGCAGAGGGTTCCAGTTTTTGTCTGACATTGAATGAAATAAGGCTTTATTGCGTGTTGGCTTGAGTTTGTGGCTGACAGGTGACAGCCTCTATAGAAGAGCCGCTAATGTTAGTGGAATCGAAATAATCTTTTCTTGTGTTGGCTGTTGCAACATTTTATAAGATGCACAATGTGGAATATATAGAGTTCTTATGTGAATAGCTTTACATTAGCTTGACTAAACTAGCACGACATGATTGCTGACTTCTCATTGACGGAGACAAATTACATTTGCTGGCAGAATTATAAGTCTGTTGAGATGTTTTGTGTAGCATTCAGAGTTGAATGGCGCTGAATGACATGAGTGATTGGGAAATATATTGAATTGTGGCTCATGCATGCAGAAATGATCACAATTAGCATTAAAACAATAGATGATTTGAAAAAAGACACTGAGCCCCAATCACACAGGAACTGTCGAGTGACCTCTTTATGATGCGTATTATCTTTTTCTCTCTTGATTACTGGTCTTGAGCATTTCTAATGACAATTAAATGTTCAATGTGTGCAGATGGTGCTGTGGCGTAGTCGAGGGCTTTGTTGACATGCCGCCTGGCACCATCCCCCAGCATTTAATGTGCAGTCTACAGCAGAGTACAGTGTAGTGCTATTCAACACCGTTATCAGGGCTTTTTCCACCTACACCAGGTGGAAATCGATAATAGATTTTCTCCTTTCCAACAGATCAGAGAGAGGCATTGTTAAAGAGTTGTTCAGGTTTCAAATGAGGAATTGGCAGTGCAGACTTTCAAAGCCAGAGCACATGACTTCAGGATATCCGCATGTGGTTGAGAAACTACCAGTGCTTCACATATTCTTACATGGCAAATTATATCAATTTAACTTCTGTTCTGAGCCGCGTTCCTAATAGTCAATTGTGGAATGATTGTTAATGAGTTAACCAGTTTTTCCAGTGAAATGTTGGTAATATAAATCTATATAAACAGTGTTGTACTTTCTCTAGCTATGACTCAGACAGGTAAATACAGTATTTTGATGTGTTCTACTGATCTTTAACATATTTGTCACTTGGCCTTGCAGGATTCCTAACTCAGTGAAATAATGACCCCATAAAAGAATTTGTGGCACAGCAAATGCTTTGTACCAATGATTTATAAAATGACTATGGGGCAAGCTTGTTAGAGAAGAAAAATGGTTGTATTGAACGTGGATTATAAAGGATCTTAAAGCAATGGGATTAAGCCAGATAGATTAACATTGCATGGGATTGTATGTTTAATTGATTTAAGACCTTTCAAAGAGGTCCCACTCTTTAAGGATCCCATCCAGAAAGTCCTCACTGTTTTGCATTAGATTTCTTTTGTCCCTCTTCCCCCTTCACTGTCTGTCCGCCTGGCTGCTTATGCAGCTGTTGAAAAGGCTCCATTCTCGTTTAAAGAATCTCTGCTTGGCAGGTGCTTCGGTGGCACGGGGGTTCCAGGGAGCGAATCGTGACGAGACCAATCAGCGTTAATTTTCTCACGGCTAACAATGACCTCACGAGTAACCCTGCCAATGACCTCCCCGCTGCTGAATGCTGCAGTATGGTCAAAACCATACAGTATGTACGACACGTAGAGTAATGCTGAAAACAGACAGGAAGTGAAGGTGAACACAGAGGACATTTCACTGTAAACAACTGAAGGTGTTTGCACCGGGATGACAGGATCACAGGAAAAACAACTTGTATCAGCAGCTATAGCGGACACTAGCTCAAAAACACAGACAGTGCCACAGTGAAGACTCAGTCAGAGGCAGGGGAATAGAGCTGGACAATAGCTAATTATCAGCATATACTAAAGTAGACAGCCTTGCGGACGTTTAATTCAAATATAATGTGACATGTATGACAGCTCAGAACATTTGTATAAGTATAATTCTGGAGAATTTAAAGCGAAACACTGGATTACAGGTTACTGTCATGATAAGACAAATGTGTTTTTGTGTGACAAATCAGTCACAGGGCGCTGATTGCCTCTGCTTTCCTCCTTATGTTTGAGAATCTGTTAAATATTTGATTTTAGTATTTTTTTGTTTTCCTCTTGGATCCATCGGCACCAGAAAATTGGTAAAGGACAAAACGTGGAGGTCACCACAGGCCGCGTTGTTAAAAGAAAACATGCTTAAGAAATGCAAAATGGCACACACATTATAAATAAATGTCACCTGACTGAAGCTTATCTTAAGACTTTAAAAACCATTTTGTATTAGAAATGAAAGCTGTGCTTACAAGTCATGTTGAAGGTATCAATGCAGACAGGGCCACAAATATTCAGGGATTAGGGTGCATCTGTTGATGATTGACAGATGAGAATGAAAGGATTAAACAATGATGATGTGATGCAAAGTGCTTTATGCACATTCATTTATGCCTTGTCTCCTCCCCAGCCTATACAGTCGGGCTGGGAATAGCCATGGCTTTATTAGATAGGCAGCTAAAAGTAGCTTTAAAATGCCAGAAGTTCTGGATACATTTTTCAGCATCTGAGCATTTAGCTTCACAACAAACCATTCTCAGTTTGCTTTTGTTACAGGCAGGAGTGATTTTATTGACCGTCATCCATTGCAGTGGATTTATAACAGGGACTTTTTATTTTGGACATATAGACATGATGAACATAAATATCACCATTTGATATTTTGTTTACCTGTGTCTTTACGTGGCATGGTCAGGTTTTCCCTTGTGAGAAATTATGAGTCAAAACAATTTGCTTGACATTTACAGTTAAAAAACTGCAAAGCCGATGTGAAATGTGATCAATCAGTCAGTCACTGAGCTGAATCAGACAGAACCTTACGCATCTCATCTCATTATCAATGTAGGCACTCAGTGACAGTTCAAACAGTTGCCTCAATCATTAAATATATGTCCAACACTGTGTGATATATCACTAATGCTCATTTCCATTTAAGCTTAACAAGTCCAACGTTATGTTTCATAAAGATGTAATAATTTCTCTTGACATTTATTTGTCGTAATGGAGGCTCGGCTTGGTGCAAAGGAAGCGTGGGGACCATGGAAACCAAATTGTTATGTGCTGTAGTCAGCCTCATCTTGTGCACGCAATATGAAAAGTGCCCTGCGATCATTTCTACTATGACTTGGCAACATATACATAAAATAGATACTTGATATTTGCCTGATATGACTCATTTGTATTCCTGGCTTTTTTCCATAAAGTGTCTATGTCATCAAGTAACGCATAACGTGCAGATTACATGTTACATATAAATAAAAATAAGAGCGCCACCAACAACAGAAAATCTATCAGTGTGATGCATCGTCCTCCAGTCTTATTCTCACTTTCAATAGCTGACTAACACAGAGCTAAAACCAATAGTTCAGATTTTGAAAACTACAGTTTACCTCAAATTAAGAACTTGTAAATGAAAATGTGGGCACTTTAAATCAAGACAGAGTATTCAAATCTGTTTCATAAAATCTTCGTTCTGTCACATCTAAATTTCTTGAGGAACTGCATTGATAATTTTTGTCAAATCTCATATTCCTCTCAGTGTTGTGACTGTGGATAGAAAGTGGTAGAAAAGACAGAGATGAGATGATGCTGTTTCTCGCCGTCTCCTTGTTTTTGATATTTTCCAGCAGGGCTCATAGTAAAAGATGTAAACGAGGCCTGCTCTCAGTTTCCTGGAGGAATCAAAGCGCCTGTTTCCGCCGACATTGCTCGAGATTTACCACTCAACTGTTGGCGTCATTACCGCTGCTGCCGCTGCTTTTGTTTCCCACAGTGGAGTCACACACAACCATGGCATGTCCCAGCATGATTTTAATTGCCAGTGGGACTGTGGCCACTTCAGTGGGAGATGAGTTCTGATGGCTTGTTATGGAAATGAAAGGAAGGAACATTTAGAGTCATGTAAATGGCTGCCATTTACAGAGCAATGGGCGAGGCCTTGCCACGCACCTGATAAAGGGATTTTGCGTCATAAATGCCAATTTATACTTCTGCGTTGAATCGGATATTGTGTAGCCACATAACCTCCGCTGTTTGATGTGCAGCTTTCTGGAAACGCTTTAGTGATGCAGACAACAACTGTAATTGGTCCAGTTTGTCGCATCTCTCATCCCTGCCGCTCAGTGAACGCAAATGTACACAAAACTCACACCTTCTGCCTCAATTCTCTTTTTACTGTGTTGGGGTAATCTGAGTAAAAGTCACTGTTGAAGCTTGAGTTGGAAACCCTGGAAAAGCTAGCAAGAGAAGGCTTCGAATAAATGCAACCTATACATCCGCCCACTTGTCGAAGCTACGCCCACATGAATGCACACTGCCTGACAACTGTGAGATGCCGACTTTGACATGAATTGCTCGCTAACTTCTGGTCTGTGCTTCAGTGGTGTGTGCTTCCCAGCTGACAAGCGCAGTGAGAGCCGGGAGTGTAGTGACAGATGGGTACGCTGCCATAGATTGGTCGAGTTTCTTTTTTTTAAAACTTTTTTGATAGCTATTTGGACGTAAAGCAGATTTCAACAAATAATATGAAGTGTTCCAGAAACTAATTACCAACCCTACCCTTAATCAATATTTATTAGCACCTACCTGATTTGCTCAGTTT